CGGTCCTAGAGGTCAGCTTGTGGACACCGAGGTTTCCACTTCAACTCGGGGCCATCACTCTAGTGTTGCCTGTGACTGGGTCACAGCCACACCGCCCTGCCCTGATCTCTCTCAAGAAAACATGGAATGGCTGGGAAATGGATGGTTCTGAAAGAAGAGCGGCTGGCGTGTCCTTATATTAAACCCCACGCCAGACAAACTCACGGACATCAAGTCGATGCTGACTCACAGAGACCACGATGGGTTTCTAAGACTACAACTGTTTACAGGAGGAGAGAGCCCCTTCTTTCTCCTGAGGAGCTGCTGGGGTTTCAAACGGCTGACCACATGCAGCACAGGCCAACTTCTAACCACTACACCACCAGGGCTCCTTCCATGAAAGGAAAGCTGTCTTTAGCCTGTTCCCTGGGGTCCACCAAGTTCAGATCGGCCCCAATTCATTCCAGAACTATACTTCTATTATTCTCTGTTCTTTTCCTAAGCTGAGCTCACTCAGGCCTTCCCACCTCCACCTTAGCATGCAGAGCTGGCCCAGTGCCTTCTCCTGGGCTGAGGACCACACAGGCTTGGCCGCAGAGTGCACCCCAATAAGGGTGGACCTAAGAGACACACGGGTCTCTTCAAACAGATTCTCACACTCGGTCTGAAAACCCCACAGTCTTGCATATGCTGTATTTCCCCTTGCTTCATTTTCCATTTTTGCTTTATAGCCTTTTTCCTGGACAAAGTTTCTTCTATTGTTCTCTCCCGAGCCACACTATTATCCTGAACACTCTCAGTCTTTCGCAAAGTAATCCTTTCTTGGCTTCAGAGGGTCCGTTTCTGGAATTCCTTGCAAACTGCTGAGTCTGAGTTTCTAGGAAACTTCGCTTCCTCCCTCACTAGCATGTCCTCTCCTAGGACCGACATGTACAACACTGCACCTGGGACAGACAAACGGTTAAGAAGAAGATGCCTGGTCAATATCAGAGATATGGAGGGAGAGGAAGAAAACGTGTGGTACAAATGGCCTAAGGTTTAGGGAAGCAGCATCCTCTACCGGATTCTCCACTTGCTATGTGACTTTGGACCAGCCTTTTAATCCTGTGCCCCTCTGCTTCCTCATCTTTTCAAAGAGAAGCTTGGATCAAGGAAGCTAGAAAGTTGCTTCCAGTTTTATGAGTCTATGATCCTTGGGCAAATACTGAGACCCAAGAATAAGATCTTCCTTTTCTCCTGTGGAGATGATTCCCACAATCCTACATGAATGACATCCCCCAGAACGCTGCTCTTCCATGTTCCTCTGTTGAATCCAGTCTCTTTTCCTGATAGCGATGAACAGATGCTGCAGAGGATGAAGAACATTGTCTCTGGTGTCAGGTCCCAGCCTGTGCCTCCTGGGCCAGAGGCTCCTACCCCTTCATTAAAAACTCTCCTATTGCTTGGGGACTCTTCCTCCTGGGTGGTCGGGAACCCCAGAGCCTGAGACTGGAGGAGAGACACAGAACCCAGGAGAGTCCTTTTGAACGTCCCAAGCAGGACACGGGTAAGGTGTTAACAAATAGAGCAGGGCCAGGCACACTGTGTTTCTTAGGGCCACCGAGGGAGGTGGGAGTTAGGGAGAAGATGGATGAAAGTGGTCAATTCACGTGGTTTAAGGAGGCTTCCGATCACCCCCAATCTCTCTTTTGTAAACCTACTCCCGTGTCAGGTATATTTCTACAGGTGGCTGCTATTGCGGCTAGGCTCTCAGGACCCAAAAGGAGCTAGGACCCAGGACCCAGAACGCAGGCCAAGCACCGTTCATGAGAAAGAGTCGGCCTTGGGTACCACCTGTGTGGGCGGGAATCATTCATCCTGTACAGAACAAATTGTTTCCTGGACTTAAACGAAGATGAAGATGTTTCCCAGGCAAGTGGGCAATAAGTAATCTCCATTAACAGAGATCTCTGAGGTTGAGTCCATTCCTAGAGGGATTCATTTAAGAAATTGTGGCCTTACCAGAATCTGGCTTCCTCGATTTGATCCTTCTTAGACGTAGGAGTCTCCCTAATGATGACCCCCAAAGGCTGCGGCTGTCAGGGGACTCGGACTCTGCCCAGCAGCCACAGCTCAGACAAAGACACGGGCACACGGCCCCAGGGCAGGGCTGAAGAATGAGGACGGAGTGGCTTTGTGTGAGCGCAGGTCCAGAGCCCCTGGACAGTGGTCTTCTGCAATGTAGGAAATGAACTCAAAATCGTCTGTGAAGCCTTATTGTTCCCACACTTATCTCCCAGGCTTCAGATCCTTTTGGTCAAAGGCTCTGTGTGTGTGTGTCTGTGTGTGTACACACCGGGAGAGCAGAGGTGTCTGGGCCCTCCTTATTGGGTGCGACCCTCATGTAGTTACTGAGTGCTGAGGCTGGCTCTGATAGCCCATCAAAGAGGAAGTCATATCACAGAAACGCATCAAGACTACAACATAAAGAACCATGGACACGGATTTCATCTAAGGTCTAGGAGTGGGGGGGAAAGAAAAAGAAAAATAGCCCTTTGTGGTAAAGGGCATGCTGGGAAGGCGAGTGCCTGAGCCGCCTCCCCAGAGCATGCTGGGAGGATGGGCACCAGAGCCGCCTCTCTAGAGCATGCTGGGAGACGGACACCGGTACATCTCCAAGGACTGTACTTTCCCCAAGGCCCCCCCACCTGTATTCCCTCACCCACCGGAACCCAGAGACTAGAGGAAAGTTTGTCCAAAGATGACTGTGGGCTCGAGTATGCCGCGGTTCTCTGCAGGCCCCCCACACTGTGGAGGGTAAGTCAGCAAGTGGGGAGAAGAGTCAGGATGAAGAGTTGGAGAAACAGAGAGGCAGGAGAGAAACAGGCTGACAGACTGAAGGGCGTGGGGAGAGTGGGGCGGAGGGTTCGGCAGCTGCTAGCCAGAGGTGCTGATGTACAGCTGGCTCTTGAGGATGTAGTCGATGACGGGCTGAGACAGGTAATCCACAACATGACCATCCCCATGCTGCAGGGCCAGCCTGGACAAAAAGAAACGATCCATCAGTTGGGCACCTCGTAAATCAGGACACACCTGCTCAGACTCTTCCAGGAAGAAAGAGAAACAACTAGTGGGCTGCTAGGGGTCTCCCCAGAACCCCATTTACCAGTCTTTCCTTAGGTTGAGTAGACAGCACCATTCTAGGGCAGCTCTTTCGTCCCCACAATGCCCTCCCTATCCTAATGACACCATCTCATCATCGCTCAGAGGACCCAGGGACAGGTTATGTGTTAGTCCCTCTGATCTCCCTTCTCTCAGTTTTCTCCTCTGTAACAGGAGGGTATTGGTGGCTACCTCATCCCATGAGCTGCAGGACTAAACGAGTCATTATCCAAAGCCCTGAGAGGAGTGCCAAGCACACCATAGTCACGTTAGTAGGAAGTTCACGACTCCCCTTTCCTTTTGCTGGCTTCCTCCCGTGACGGTCACTGCATGGAAATCTAACTGTCCACTTCTTTTCCTTCCTACAGGAAGAAATGTCACCAGGACATTTAAATGTCATCATCAGCGGGGAGCTCTAGGGTCTCAGAGAGGCACAGAGAGGTGCGACGGGCCTCCAGCGACCCATTTTGGCTCCTGTGACATTTTGTTCCAGTCTTGGCCTGGCTGCTTCCTCTTGTCTCCTCATGTGAAGATCCTGGGGATGGTAGGCCTACGGAATGAATTTCAAAATTCATACACTCTTCAAGATGTTCATATTCTAGCAGCATCTGAGCCCTGTCTCGTGAGATTCTGGGAGGCTGCCTCACTGTCTCTGCCATGGATACACTGTCTGAACTGTGTGGGCGAGGTCCCTAAGTGCCTGCTGGTCACAGTAAAGCTTCTTGAAAAGGCACATGTGCTTCCACACAGCGATCACAGCTTCATCTGCATCACCCAGGCAGCAGATCTCCGGCCACCTGCCCCAGAAATCTCAGTTCCGTGGGTCTCAGCAGAGCACAAGACTTTCTCTTTGGGTCAGGTTTTTCACAGTGACTCTGGTGGGCAGCATTCCTGTCTCCATGCACTGTCATTGGGCTTCTGCCCTCCCTCCCACGTGATGCTCCTCTTGCAAATTCATTCACATCCTCCTTCCAGGGATAGAGTCCAAGGAGCGCATGAGTCCTGGACCTGATTTTTTTGTTTGTTTAAATATTTGTCATAGATGATACTGCTCTTCATATTCACACTCACTTCTATGATTTCTGAGCCACCAAGGTTGGTGGATTTTGACTGCTTTTTAACCTTCTTTTAAATGGTGGTGTTCCCCATAGACCTCTTTTAAATGACTCTCCTTTGAGCTCATCCACAACTGCCCTCTTAACTTACACTTACAGGCTCCCAGCTCTCCACTTCATGCTTTCATATCTCTGTATTCCATCCATCTCCCCCTTCTACTGGATGTTTCCACTTAGGGTTTGTGGCGGAGACTGTTAACTGACCCCTAATATCCACTCCCTCCTTCTCCCACGTAGTGGTAGAACCTTCTGTGTCTTACCTGGGAACCTGGTCTCCTAACTCTAAAGCCTATTCCCCAGCCTCCAGTGAATTCAGCTGGCTGTGGCCAGACAACTGAGGCCAAGCCTGAGACAGTGGGATGCCAAGGGAACTGAATCGGGACACTTCACCTTATTTTCTTTCAAACCTTGTCTTTCCCTCTGGCTGAGAACAAGTCGTACCAGCCGCTGCAGACCCAGAGATAGGACCTCCATGTTAAAGATGCTCATTAATGCATTTGATTATTCCATGAAGGAAAAAAAAAGTCAAAACCTAAACCAGCTATTGTCAAGTTGAGAGAAGAAAAAAGGACTTTAAAAAAAATTCTGGATATTGGAGTACTTTTATCATGACTTCTTAGCCCACACCTTACAAACGTAGTATTTCATAAGCGCCTCAAACTAAATCATCTTCTCTCCCCTTAAACCAGCTCAGACTAGGTAGAGGGCTTTTCCCTTTTAAGAATCCATGACTGGGGACAAGCGTCTGGGTCCAAACAAGACATGGAATACAGGAGTGGCAGGCAGTGGCCTGAGTCCCAGGGCGGGCCCGGATTTAGCAGAGTTAGGTGGAAATTTGCAAGCCTGCTTGGCCAAGAGCTCTCTGGCCATTTGTCAAACGCACCTGCTCTTGGTTGAACTGACAACAGACATGGGATGGTTGATGTCATCCTTCACCACCATGATGTTGTTCTGGAGACAGAGCAGAGAGGGTGACGGTCAGCCACTCACACTGAGCTCCTTTGCTCCCACCCGCCTCAGCCTCCCAGGCTTCTCAGAGTTCGCTCAGCAGAGAGATGGCGGGACTCACTTTGTATTTGCGGAGGATTGAGGAATGGTTCATGATTTGGTCTGTGTCAGCTGCTTCTCGGGGCACCACCACGATCCCAAAGTCCCCAACAATCACCTCCATCTGAAAAAGAGGGGTAGGACAGTAGAGATGGAAAGAGAGAGAGACCTTTAGTAAGACTCTGATCCCAAACCCCTGTCAATTGGCTACTTCACAAGGCTGAACTATTGCCCAGGGAAAATTCAAGTTTAGTTCCAAACTTGGCTTCTCCAGTCAATTCCATCAGTTAGCTCCTTCACGTACCAACCCTGACTTCAGGGTTGCTTGAATGAGTGGAGACTTTACCTGGCACACAAGAAGATTCTTGATAAAAATACTTCTAGAGTGAATGAGAGGCAGTGGTGGTTTCCCGGGAGTTTGGCTTTCCATTTAGGATAGCCAGGTTTGAGTTCCCACCCATGAACCTCAAGCCCAGTCGCCATTTGTCTGTAATTGGAGTCGGGGGTGTTGCAATGACACAGATCAGTTGACCAGGAAGCAAGAGTTTGGAAATGTGGATGATTTTATGCCAACTTGACCTTGGGTGAATGGGTAGGGGTGGCGTCCAACCTATCCACCTGATGATGTTTCCTTGGGGGTCTGATCTTTTCCATAAGGAAGATGGTGAGGAATTTTCTTTCCCTCTTTTAGCCTTTGTTTTCATCCTTGCTGGGACTCAACTGCCTCCAGGGGTGGCCCCATGTGGGCGGCTGACCCTGGGAGCCACCCTCCCAGCTGTTGGTGCCCTGCCATGTTCTCATCGACCAGCCTGGGATCACCCTGCTTCCAGCGTCACCATTCTGTATTGTCAGCTGGCAGCTATGTGAGCCTGAGAGGGCTCCCTCTGGCTAGCATCGGACCCGTGGACTTAAGTTGGACCAAGCTAGTATACCTTCTTGATATAAAATTACGCATTGTTATAAGAGCTATAAGATTCCCCCAATAAAATGATCTATTAAAAAATTACTCTTGATGTAAGTTCTTTCATACACATCGATGAGAGTCACTGGTTCTGTTTCTCTAGACAACCCAGCCTCACACAGGTAATTACTTCCCCCATCAGCCCGTGGAGACCCCATCAATCACATGAGGCTGAGCTCAGCCTCTGCTGGGTATGGGAGCCATGTAATTTGGGACTGACTTGACAGCAGCTCATGGCAAGAAACACTGGGTGAATACGTGTCCTTTCATGTCTCTGGGCAGGTTTTCTCCAATTTCCGAGGCTCCCGGTGGGTTCCTAACGCTGCAGGAAAACACGAAGGACACGTGTGCCTTACCTGGGAGACACAGATCCTGCTCTCCAGCAAGCATAGCTCAGCCCTCTCATGCAAAGGGCTGAAATGCACCCTCTGCTTCCCTGGGTCAAAGCTGCTGTGAGACTCAAGAGCAAAGGCAAACGGGGAGTGTTTGGAATGCACTGCTTTGTGCCCACCAGGGACAGGGCTGCTGCTACTCCTGAAGGGGACTCCTGAGGTCACCCTTCAACAGGAGCTGGCTGCCAGAGTGAGAAATGAACCTTTCTTTTCCGATTAAAAAAAAAAAATCCCCATTTTCTGAAGACAGAAATAGAATACAAGTTTGGAACATTCAGGGAGGCGGGGTGGGGACAGAAATCCATCACAGTCCAAATGTTAGCATTTTATTGAACTTCTGCCCAGGGTTTTCCTGCATGCAAACAGGTGCATGTGCCTACAGTGAGATGAAACTGAAAAGCGAGTTACTTCCCCTGCCTTGTTTTTGTCCACTTACCACCACAGTGTGAACATTTTCTCAAACCTTTTAAAGAGATCCAAACATAGTGTTTAGCCATCTGCGCAAACCTCATTGTTTTACTGCTCCACAAGAAACCGTGATTCAGGACCCCAGGCCTACACTGTAGATCTCGTACAGTGACTTCTGATTTTTTTGTGATTATAAGTAAAAAGTTGATGATGATCCCTACACACAAATCTTTTACCACGTCTCTGATGATTTCCTTAGGATAGGCGGATCAAAGGCTGTGAACTGGCCATATTTCAAGTTCTTGAGACATATTTCCAAGTTGCTTTCTGGAAAATGTGTGCCAACTTTGATTTTCAAAGGGCCTGGGAGCTGCGACATTGACTACAGCTTGGAGCTTGCCTAGGCCTATGTAGGTTTTGCCAATTATGGATCCCCGGTGAGGCAAGGAGGGGAGGAGGCAGGTTACTTCTTAGCAGTGTAGCTCGTTAAAGAAAACCTAGTTAGGGAGCAAGGGACCAAGACTTTATCCATGATTCTCCTATGGGGTTCACCCAGAGCTTGTAAGTGGTTCGTCCCAATCCAAACGCCTACTGGAGAAGTGCTCAATGCAGATTATGACCCCATGTATCTGGGGTGCAAATGCAAAACCTCAGTAGAGTCTTGGGGGTGAACCAAGTTCTGGGTTCACCAGTGTGACTGTTAGATTTTATGTCCACTTCAATTTGTGTGGAGTCCAAACTGTCAATCAGGTAACAGCCTGACAATGCCTATTCAGAGGGGTGGCCTTTTTGTAAGAGAGACACTCGGGACCACTCCGCTCTCTTTGCCCCCTTCCCCACCCTGCTCACTGGGACTTTGTGTCTGTCTCCAGGGGCAGCCCCATGTGGACTGCCTGACCCTGGGAGCTGTTGCCCTGCGATCTTGCCAACAACTTTGGATCCACAAGACCCTGCACCCACCAGCCTGTGATCTTCTTGCATCCTGCTTCACCATTCTGCATCATCAGCCTGCAGCTATGTGAGTCTGAAGAGGGATCTGGCTAGCAATGGACCCGTGGACTTCTGTTGGACTGGGCTACGATGCCTTCTGGATATAAAATTATTCCTTGCTATAAAGTTCTTTCTTACACATATATGAGTGTCACTGGTTTCGTACCTCTAGACAACCCAGCCTAACACGGACATTCAAAAAGAATCTAAGGTACTGGTTGTCAAACTGGGCTGCACATTAGAAGCACCTGAGCTTTCAAAAATCCCAGAGCCCAACTGAAACCCAACTAAGGCCAATTAAACCAGAATCTGGGAATGGGATTGAGGCATCCGTACTGTCTTGTTTGTTTTAACCTCCCAGGTGATTCTGCTAGATAATCAAGCATGAGACTCGGTGCCATATGTTCTGAATTCAAACACCAGGGCACTGGGTAGGGCAGAGAGAGAGGCAGAAAAGGAGTGGGGAAGGGAAGAGGGGATATTTCCAGGCTGGTCTGTGGGGAGATTCCTAAGCTGTGTGGCCATGCAGATGTTTTGATATATCTGACATCGATCCTATGAAGCAGGATTTGCATTCTGTTAAGAACTTGATGGAGGTGTCACATGATGCATGGAAAGATGGGGCATGCAACGTGTGCAGCGTGGAAATCGAGGCTCGGAATGGCAGCGTGGCCTGTGGGAGAGCTTCCTGTGGGAAAGCTGCTCTTTCCACTCGGGAATAATGATCCGAGCAGCCAAGCAATCACAGTGCCAGGCTGTTTGGGCGGGGGCAAGCAGAAGGGAAGATGTTTTTCTCTTCCATACACAAGTGACAGTGTTGCCCCTGGAGAATCACAGGGAGGTGAGGGCCACAGGGCCACAGGATGAGACCCCAGCTTCAGCTTCCTGCAGGCAACACCCCTGTGGGGCTCAGGCCAGAGCCTGCTGATGTGCTTTGCCCTGGGCACAGACACTAGGGCCTGGGTGTGGTTCTGAGTACGTGTGTGTTGGTCTACCCATCGCTCTCCACGGCTCAGCTGCCCTTCCCACTGCCACCTTCATCCCCATCTGTGCTGGGCTCTTCCGGACGGTCCTCGGACCCCTCTGGTGACTTGGTTTTGCTTTCCACTCATCTCTGTGAACTCGAAGTATCGGCGTGCTCCAAGACTCAGCCCTGGGCACGCCTTTCTTTTCGATCTACACTCACACCTTTATGATTGTACCCAACCCTTGCAGGGAGCCCCACATCACATCTCAGGCATGGACATCCCTGCTAATGTTCACACTGGTATGCCCAGCTGCTTTCTTGACGCCCCTCCTTGGATGGGGCATCTCAAACACGACAGGTTCAAAATGGAGTCCTGAGTCCGCTAATAAAAACAAACAAAACCCAAAACCCAATTCTCCTGCAGCTCTTTCCACTTCAGTAAATGGAAACTCTACTTGGGTGGTGCCTAGAGCCAAATGCTTTGGGATTTCCCTCTTCCGCTCACATCCCACAGCAGATCAGCTTCACGGCATGACTGTCAAAGCAAATCCAAATTCACTGCCATCGAGTCAATTCTGATTCACAGCCATGGACAGTGTAGAACTGCACCTGTGGGTTTCTGAGACTGTAACTTAAAAAAATTTTATTGGCATATAATTAAAATATCAGACAATTTAATCGTTCAATAATATTAAGAAGAATGGTGCAATCATCACCACAATCAATTTTAGAACATATTCTTCTTCCCTGTGCTCATTATTATTAGCTCCCCATTTCCCCCCAACCTCCCCAATACACTATCCCTAAAGAAGAGGGAGACCCAGAGAGGTACGATCCACAAAGATAAATACCATTACATACACAGTTTTGCATTACCAGAAATAACACACAATCATTCACAAGTGGATACATAGACAGACAAGATGAACAAGTATGAGTAGGCGGGGGAAAAACCGCACACAACCATATATAGGTTTGGTAGATGATATTTCTACAAACCTATTTGTATGTGCTGTAAACATACCCAGGTTTCTAATAGAACAAACAGAGGGGAAGGCATGCAAACTGTCTAGCCATAATCAAAGACCTGGAGAGAATGCGTCACAGAGCTTGGAGGTTAGGGATACACATCTCAGGGGACATGAAGGTTAACCACATAATGGAGTTTAAAAAGACAACGTTCTTCATTCTGTTTCATTGAGTAACAACTCAGGTCTAAAGGGCTTGTGAATGGCCATGTAAGGTGCTACTATTGGTCTCTGTGTTCAGAGGAAAGAAGACTGATGATGATTCAGGAAGCATGGAAACAATTAGTCCACAGGACTAATGAGCACTGCAAACCTCAGCTTCCACCACCTGAGACCAGAAGAACTAGATGGTGCCCGGCTACCACTACAAACTGCTCT